ATGCAATTATGCTCAGCTATGAATTACATCCTTTATGATATGTGACAAGCTCGGCGGTGGTGGCACATGACTTTAATCCCAGCACTTGGGAGGCAGAGGCAGGCAGATCTCTGTGAGTTCGAGACCAGCCTGGTCTACAGAGCTAGTTCCAGGACAGGCTCCAAAGCCACAGAGAAACCCTGTCTCAAAAAAAAAAAAAAACCAACAAAAAAAAAGATAGGTGACAAACGTTTCTGTATCTTTTGTAAGGACACCTAAGCACAGTGTCTCTCTCTATTTAGTACCTAATCTTCTGTGTACACACGTTCCCCCTCAATGTCTCTCTGACTTTTGCTGAAATATTTTTCTGTGGTGTAGCCAAGGATTCAATATTACCCAAGCGGTGGTTCCTTAAGAGGGCTCTTCCCAAGGCATTTGTAGCAATTCTGGACTGGATCTGCCACTGAAGTTGATACAGAGGTGAAAGGGATATTACCAGGGCTCAGAGACATCTTCTGAGCATGCATGAGTCAGGGCTGGCATCAGTCTGGCTATGCTCCTTTTAATTCAATCTCTGACAGGATATCATCTTCCCTTACACACTTAGTGTATCAGCTTTTCTTGATCTTGTGCATATTGTTAAATAAGGAGTTGGAGGGGTAATAAATCAATATGAACCTCTTATATAGTAATTGGAAAACAGGGTCCTTAAACATCAGATCTGTTAATCCTTCACTGCCAGCACTGGGAATCTAGTTTAATAAAAAATGAAGGGCACAGCTATATCATGGTGGTGCCTACCTATAATCCTAGCACTTAGGAGACAGAAACAAGGAGATCAGAAGTTAAAGGCACTCCTCAAACACAAAGCAAGATTAAGATCAGCCTGGGAAACACGAGACACATCCACACGCACATACACCCACAGGCGCACATAAACACACACAAGGATAAAAGAAAAATATGCAGCACTCGGGAGGCAGAGGCAGGTGGATCTCTGTGAGTTCGAGACCAGCGTGGTCTACAAGAGCTAGTTCCAGGACAGACTCCAAAGCTACAGAGAAACCCTGTCCCGAAAAATGAAAAAAAAGAAAAATATGGTACAGTTAATGATTAATATGTACAAATTTTACATATAGCACAAAATACATTAATCCAATTTACAAAATAAAATTGCAAACTTGATGCTCAAGTAGAACAGAAATGTTTAAATAAATTTCTGTGGAGTACAATGGTGAAATGCAACAGATAGAAAACATTTTTAAAGAAATATTGGATTATAGGAAATTATCATGATGTAATCAATGGGAGGGGAAATATGCAGACCATAAAACATTGCATTAACTTCTGTCCTAATCTTATTTTTTTAAATTCTTGTCCTATGGATATATGTTTAGGCCTAGAAAGTTCTGGAAAATTGTGGTGAGATACTAATAGTTGCTTCCTTTCTGGGCAATGTGGTTACAGATAACTACTCTTCTTTTCACCTTTTCAGAAATGTTAGATATTTCTAAATAAATATGACTTTGGACCAGAGAAATGATGGTATCCTTTTTAAGAAGGCAGGGGACACCTTGTTCCAAACAGGTGGGCTCCATGAGGGTGTAAGTGATGGAGATGGTGATGCAAGCTCAGCCATGTGGAAAGATAGACAGAGAGGGTCAAAAATAAAAGTATGAAATATTGACATGGATGAATAAAATAGTTGGGAGAAGGACATATGTGGGATAGAATATGTGATTTACCTATACTATTTGCCATCCTAGAAAAGGGTGAGGAAGAGGGAAGACTGTGGGCTTCAGGAGATTTCTTGGATGGGTAGAGATGCTACTGCCGTCTACTGTGGTGCAAAAAATATGTGCAACAGAAGTAGCCCGTGCTGGGGAACTCCTGCAGTCAATAGCCTTTAAGATACCTGCCCAACTTGGGCATCATCTCATGTATGGTAAATACAGACAAAGCCTCTTGGCTTTTGGATTTGGTTCCCATTCCCATTGCTCTCAGAAGGCTCTGGACTAGTATTCTTTCTGTTAGTTTATTTCCATATGAGTAAACCTTTGTTATCTCTATTCTGGACTATTTAGGAACTCTTTGTACAACAACAAATTGGTGACCATATGGCCAGAATCCTCACTATTGCTGGGTCTCTCCTGCAGCCTTCTCCCACCACACACAGCTGAACTACCTCTTGGCAACTTAACCACCTCCCCTCTGGCACACACCTGTGTACCATTGTGTTGGCCTCCTGGAAGACAACTTTACAATTTCCTTTCTCCTATGCCCAAGTGGCTTAGTCCTTCCTACTAAGTGGCTGACTTACTGCTGCTTGTAGCTTTTGGCTGAAACTCCTCTGCAGCTTCCAGCTCCTCTGGCTTCTGCCAACCCTACTCTGATTAGGCTGAGATCTGACTCTGGGAGGAGGGGCTGCTCCAGCTTGCATTTTAGATCAGCAAATACCTGACCCACACTTTGTTCTGTAACCTCATGGCTCACAGCTGTCTGCAAGCTCTATGTTCCTTGATAGTCTGCCCAAAACAAACCTGTATGGGGATGTGCTGTTCTTAAGTAATTAACTAAATTTTGTTGTGTTATGTTTTTTTAAGATTGATAGAGCATTGTATTTTTTTATTTTTTTTAAATTTATTGATTGATTGATTTAAAATTTCCACCTCCTCCCATCCTCCCATTTCCCTCCCACTCCCTCTCCCCCTCTTTCTCCAGTCCTAAGAAAAGTCAGGATGCCCTATCTTGTGGGAAGTCCAAGCCCCCCTCTCCATTCTAGGAAGGTGTGGATCCAAACAGACTAGGCTCCCAAAAAGCCAGTACATGCAGTAGAATCAAAATCCAGTGTCATCGTTTTCTTCTCAGTCCACCCTCATTGTCAGCCACATCCAGAGAGTCTGGTTTGATAACATGCTTGTCCAGACCCAGTCCAGCTGGCCTTGATGAGCTCCCACTAGATCGGTTCCAGAGTCTCCTTGGGTGGATGTACCCCTCGTTGTCCTGCCTTCCTTTCTTATATTCTCCCTCCTTCTGCTCTTCATCTGTGCTTTGGTGGCTCAGTCCAGTGCTCCAATGTGGGTCTCTGTCTCTATCTCCATCCATCACCCGATGAAGGTTCTGTGATGATATTCAAGATATTCATCAGTGTGGCTATAGGACAAGGCCAGTTCAGGCACCCTTTCCTCCATTGATCAAGGACCTAACTAGGAACATTCCCTTGGACACCTGGGAAGCCCTCTAGAGCCAAGTCTCTTGCCAACCCTAAAATGGCTCCCTTAATTAAGATATCTTATTCCCTGATTCCCATATCCACCCAGCCTGGCTTCAAACTCACAGAGATCTGCATGCATCTGCCTCCCGAGTGCTTGGATTAAAGGCATGCATCACCACTACCCAGTAAATACATAATTTTAATACTGTGAGTTGGTACAGTCACTTAAGAACTTTGAAGGTGTAAAATAGAGGACAGTCAAGGTTGGCCAGAAAAACAACAAAGAGGGACCAAAGCCACCTGAGTCAACATAACAGAAGTTGTCTCAGAAGCAATATTTCTATGGGGACAGAAATGCAGCTCTTCTAGAATTAATACGCCTTCCCACTTAGAAATCACATCATACACTTAGGAGATTAATAAAGAAAAGGATCTTTAATGATGTTATGCATTGATCTCTGTCCAAAGCTCAAGGGACAGAGGTTAAATAGATATTTGTATCAAATATATGCTGTTAGTCATAAGTATCCCTTAGGATAATGGTCCAGATTATACTCTGAACAATTGAAATAGGAACAGGCAACTTGCCAGTCTAAATATATAGGCAAAAATATTCTCAGAATATTTTCTTAAGTATGCCCATGACCTATTACAGCAGGTCATTCTTCACTGACAGGGTACTAAGGTGAAGATCACAAGGGAGGAGAAAGACTGGACTGGATATGTAAAAGATAAAAAAGATAGGGTGGGGAGGTGTTGCAGAAGATAAGTCCCAGCCTAGTAAGCTTCTTAAGAAAAATAGCTCCCAGCACTCAGGAGGCAGAGGCAGGCAGCTCTCTGTGAGTTTGAGACCAGCCTGGTCTACAAGAGTTAGTTCCAGGACAGGCTCCAAAACCACAGAGAAACCCTGTCTCGAAAAAACCAAAAAAAAAAAGAAAAGAAAAATAGCTTCTTAGCTGAGCAGTGGTGGGACACGCCTTTAATTCCTGCCAGGAGATCTCTGTGAGTTCAAGGTCAGCCTAGTCTACAAAAGCTTGTTCCAGGAAGGGCTCCAAAGCTACAGAGAAACTTGAAAAACAAACAAAAAAAAAAAAGCAAAAAAGAAAAATAGCATCTTGCCAGGTGGTGGTGGCTTATACCTTTAATCCCAAGACACAGGAGAAGAACCCTGTGCCTCTCTATGAGTTCAAAGCCAGCCTGGTCTATTACTTCCTAGGGGGAAATGAAAGAGTTACATGAAGTCAGCAGAAACTATGATACAATGAGACAAATTTAGGAAGAGGCTAGTCCAACAATTCTACACAATGGGTATACAGGGTATTTTGGAATCTTTGCTGTGTCTAGAATGGCCTTGGTACTGAGAACCATAGCTCCATATGGTGGGAAAGGTTGAGTTGTCAAGATCTGAAGCAACCCCTCCACAAAGGCCTGGGCACCAGACCATTATGGGCTCTCCAATGCACATTCCTGGTTTTAGAGAAGGAGCTCTGTTTTAGTATCAATACATCAGTTCCTTAGGGAAACTCACAGGCTTATGTCCCAGGCTGTTACTAGGTCAGCAAGAATGTCCCTCCTCCCTGCCTGAGGTCCTAAAGGAAAGCCTTGATTGATCAGGCCAGTCATTCACACAACAGTGTTTTACATTTCAAATATATGTCACCCAGTGTAATATTGGTCTTCTGACAGAACTATGCCTCTCTCAAAAAGAAAACTGGAACTTTATGGCATGCCAGGTCTTAAGGTTGGTTGTGACCTGTAATGTCTCCTTGAGCAGCTTGTTAACAGGTCTATTTTTTGATATTTGGGTGGGTCTAGTGATTTTTTTTTTATTTTTCTTTTTTTTTTTTTTCAGGGGCCATGCTAGTCTTCTCTGTATCGTTCCAATTTTAGTATATGTGCTGCCGAAGCAAGCACGATTTTTTTTTATTTTTCAAGACAGGGTTTCTTTGTAGCTTTGGAGCCTGTCCTGGAACTCACTCTTGTAGATCAGGCTGGCCTTGAACTCACAGAAATCCACCTTCCCCTGCCTCAAGAGTATTGGAATTAAAGGTGTGCACCGCCACCACCCAGCAGTGACTTTTTATTTTTAACTCAGTGATGGCTTCTTTGAAATGGTTTGGAGTCAAATACATGGACAATCCTGATAAACAATGTATACCTGGGCATTCTAATCTTTACCAGCCCTCATTAGCATAGACTCACAGTTTGGGTGTTTTAGAAGCATTTCTCCCTCTGATAAATTCTACTTTGTGAGACTTAATTATTTCATAAGCATTGGTCAATCTATTGTATCAACAATTCTACTCTTCTACATTATGACACAGTAGTGGAGAGCTACACGACATGTGAGGTGCCTTTGATAACGTCCACAAATTTAAATATAGATTCAGATTATATTTAAAGCTTAAATGCAAAGTGCTCGATATCGAGAAGATACTGGAGAAACGAGGCTTCTCTGAGTTTGGCAACTTGTTTCCATGAATGCAGGAACCCTGTTGAAGTTGACTAGGAAGGTGTTTGTACACGCAGCTTCCTGCTCCCAATATTCTAAGCAGATGAAGCCACAGGGCAAAGTTATTCAGAGGCCTGCCCCTAGGTCCAGGAGTTACCAGGGACCATGAGGGACTTCACAATACAGGGAATGTGGCGGCGGGTTCCCACCCAGACCCACGGAGGTAACAACATAGTGTTTTCCGCACCTCGTCCTCTGCTCCTCCCCATCAGGAGACAGCATTCCCTCACTCACCATGTTGTGCTTCTCCATTTTCCCAAAGTTCTCAGCTCATCGTCTCCCCGCAACAGCAACTGCACCCAAGAACAGGAATCCACTGGCGCCAGCTCCTCTTCAAAGCCAAGACTGAAGGCGGCTGCCAGGAAGAGACCTGCACTGCTTCTGACTGGCAGGTCACCTGGAGTGCTGATTGGCTAGTGAGTCCTGAGTGGCTAGAGCACCGCCCATAGGGGGTACAGTGTGCTTAAAGAGACAGAATACTGGCTCCTCTCCATTCCATTCACCCCAACAGAGAACTTCTCCAGATCTGAGAATACATGCATTTAAGAGCACTGGCCCCTGGCTACTAAAGCAATCAATGTCATCTTCTTGCACTCCTAGGAACTTTCCCTTTTCCTTCCAGCACACTGTGTGACTTGTATGGTGCACTGTGCTAGGCGGGTGGAGCAATTTCCTATCCCACAGATGTAAGGATGCCTAGAATACTAACAACTAAAGAGAGTTTTAAAGTTACAAAATGAAATATATGTTCTGTGGCTTCACTCTGAGGTCAGATGAACTGGAGGTACTTTTTACATGGTTTTCGCAGGGATTTCACACAACAGAAAAGAGAAAAGCAGGAACCAGGTCTCAATCAAGATGATTGGTCTTTTCCCCATCGGAAAGCTGGATGATGACTCCATTGTTTATGGGCTTTATTCCTGAAATTCGAAGCAAACTCCAGGCATATGAATAATAATAAAAAGGGTAGTGTTCATGGAAATTTGAATATGTAGAGAATAATGGAGCTAGAAAGAATGTCTTCATGAGCACTATTGTTAGCCAGCACTTCTTCCTCTATAGTCAGGTGAATAAAATATACAGCTGCAGTATTTAAGATTCTCTACATGACCAAGACAGGTAGAATGATTCTCACCATGGATGTAAAAAGTAGTCTTCTTAGAATGTCTCGCAAGCTGTGGTCCACTTAACTTAAGAACAGCTGCATACCAATGGCAATTGAGGAATCCAATAGCTTGCTTCTCAGCCTTTTGTCTAAGATCAAGAGAAGGATCCAGTAGTTGTTCTGCCCACAAGGATCTGTGACTCAGCTGGTTTTAAGTATTCACCAAAATTACAATGATTAATGCTAGTAAAGGGATGAGTTTGGTAGCCGGTGCCAGAGCACAGAGGCAAAAAAAAAAAAAGATTTTTCTTCTTCAAAATACTTTTTATGTGACTGCTGCTGCCAGAATGTAAGATGCTGATTAAAGTTGGGTCATAGTCTTTGTTTGATTCAGTTTTTTGGTTTTTTGTTTGTTTGTTTGTTTTGTTCTGTTTTGTTTTTTGTGATTTCAAGACAGGATTTTTCTGTGTATTTGTAGAACTCATTCTGTAGTCCAGACTGTTCTCAAATGTAGAGAATCCCACTACCTCTGCTCATGAGTGATGGTGTTAAAACTGTTCACAGACATGGGTGGGAGAGATGGCTCACTGGTTAAGTGTGCAGAAACACCAAGCAGCTTAAGGTGGGTCCTATCATCTCAAATTATACAGATTAATGGAGGATTTTCTCATTTCAAAAACCTTTAAGTAAAATGTCCCAGGTTTAATCAATTCTTTGTGTATTGGATGATCCCAGAGGTAGTCAGATTTACTACCAAAAATAGCCAGACATTTCAACAGCCAAGACAGAAGAAATGATAAAAAAAAAAAAACCTTGCCTGAGGTAGGCACAAAGAGCTTGGGAGTTGTTATCAAAACAGTGTTTTTCCTCAACAAATAAAACATGGAGATTTTACTTAGGGAGTCTGAATATGCTCATGCAATGTTCTCCCTTTCCTTAAGCATGCTCAGTTAACAAATCCACTTGTCACAGTGTAATAGCAGAGACATTTAGGGATATTCTTACCTCAATATTATGTAGGAACAAAAGTGTATTAGACAAATGATGGAAAGAAATGTCTCTGGCATGTTCATACTGTACCATTAAGGTCTTGCTTGAAAATCAAGAGGATGACACTGTGAAAAGTCGACTATCAATCTTGATGCTTATTCTAAAAGATAACTTTACCAACACCATAATTTTCACAAACACAAAAGAAGGGGACACAAAACCAGAAAACTTCAAGGAAAAGTTACCTAACAGCCCTATATACAATGCTTCTGGAGGAACAGTTATGATGATCTCTATTAATCACAGAGAAAGCTGCTTTTGCTCTGAGCAGTCTGACTAGGCAGAAGGCCACAGCTGCTATATAGTCTACAAACAAAAAAACTACACAACCCAGGAAAAGAAGAAACCTGAATAACATACCCAGGTACAGGAAGACAGTTATCACATGTACTTACTCATAGGTGGTTTTCAAACATAAAGCAAAGAAAGCCAGCCTACAAACCACAAATTCAGAGAACTTAGACAACAATATGGATGCGAAGAGTGCCTTACATAGATCTAATCTACATGGGAATTAGAAAGTAGAAAAAGACAAGATCTCCTGAGTAAATTAGGAGCATGAGGATCTTAGGGGACGACTGAAGGGGGAAGGGGAGAGACAGGAAGAGGAGCAGAGAAAAATGTAGAGCTCAATAAATATCAATCAAAAATATGCAAGCACGTGCCATTAATTCAATTCACTGAGAAAAACTGAACATTTGACAGTGGGTCACAAAAATTACTTGGTAAAAGTGAGAAGTGTTAAGTCTGGACCTTAGCCTCCAGCCCCTGGCATCCATCCCAGCCCCTCTGGTCTGGGAATTGCATTATCCTGGACTCTAAATCCCAGCATTCCAGGTCCTGACCTGTCCCTGGGGAGGGGTCGGGACCACTCCCACAGTGCCTTTAGGTGGGTCCCTAGAGGAGAAACGCATGGTTCTGGGTTTGCATGGGCTCCCCGTTGTCCTGTCTCCCCCACATGTGCTCAGCCACCGGAGAGCACTGTATTTAATAAAATAATGGGCGTTTTGATTTGGTTTCATTTCACTTAATTGGACTTCTTTGTGCTGGCAGAGCTGTGCCTTCTTGGGTTTTTTTTCTTAACAAGAAAGAAACACAGAACACACAGCGAACACTCTTCGGAGTTTATTAGAGGAGGTGTGCACAGGCCTCGGAAGTCAGTGTGTAGAGAGAGGGAGGAAGATGGCTCATCCAGCTTTTATAATCTGCCTAGAGCCGGGCAGTGGTGGCACACGCCTTTAATCCCAGCACTCGGGAGGCAGAGACAGGTGGATCTCTGTGAGTTCAAGGCCAGCCTGGTCTACAAGAGCTAGTTCCAGGACAGGAACAAAAAAGCTATGGAGAAACGCTGTCTCGAAACCCGCCCTCCCCCCCAAAAAAAAGCTGCTTAGTGTATGCACACAGGAGTTTGATATGGCTACTATATATGCAAAAGAAAACTAAAGAAGATCATGGGAATCCAAACTGGAAAGGAAAACGTTGAGCTTTTGCTATTCACAGATGATATGATAGTATACATAAGTGACGCCACAAACTCTATCAGGGAATTCTTAGAACCCATAAATAACTTAAGTAAGGTGACAGGAAACAAGATGAGCTCAAAAAATGAGTAGCCCTCTTATATACAAATAATATAGAAGAGCCGGGCGATGGTGGCGCACGCCCTTAATCCCAGCACTCAGGAGGGTGAGGCAGCTGGATCTCTGTGAGTTCGAGACCAGCCTGGTCTACAGAGCTAGTTCCAGGACAGGCTCCAAAACCACAGAGAAACCATGTCTCAAAAAAAACCCCCAAAACAAAAAGAAAACAACAACAACAACAAAAAAAACAAATAATAAAGACGCTGAGAAAGAAATCAAAGGAGCATCACCATTTACAATAGCCACAAATAATTTAAAACATTTCAACATGATTCTTCACAGACCTTGAAAGCACACTACTCAAATTCAAATCAGGAAACAAAACAGTGTGAAATAAAACACCCAAGATAACCAAAATATCCTGTACAGTAATGGAACTTCTGGAAGTATCACCATTCCTAACATAAACCTGGATTATAGAGCTACAGTAATGAAAACAGATGTATTGGCATAGAAGTAGACAGGTTGACCAATGGAATCAAAACAAAGATTCAGATATGAATCCACAGACCTATGAACACTTGATTTTTTTTAAAGATTTATTTATTTATTAAGTATACAGGCCAGAAGAGGGCACCAGATCTCATTACAGGTGGTTGTGAGCCAC